GGGCTGGAGTTGCTGCCTCAAGATCCCATTCTCCTCCTAAAGCTAAGCTCCTCAGCCAGACTACAATTCCCAGGATGCATCAGGGCCAGGCACTCCCATGATGCACTACCTCTCTTGCTCACGAGGAAGACCATAGTGCATCATGGGAGATGTAGTCAACCAGGGAGCTTGGCCTGTAGATGGGGACTCCCAAATCTGCAGCTATGAAAATCACGTAGCGGACCATGACCTCTGGCCTTTTGTATACTTCTTACCCTCCACTGCAGGCAGCCAGGGTGGCGGGGGACGCGACTGCCCCCTTCTTTAGGCGCAGCTGTTACACGCATGCCTGCAGGCTGGGAACCCGACCAGCAGTGCTGCTCGGCGCCCAGCTCACGGCAGCGCCAAAGGAAAGGGGCAATGGCACGGTGCCCGGTGTGAGATGCAGAGTGAGAACCTGGCGAGGGGCATGGCCAGGGAGCTGTGGAGGGTCTGCCAGGGGCCCAGGCTAACACCTGGGGTGAAGATCCCCTGGAGGAGTCTAGCCGGGAAAGGACGCGAGCACCAAGGGAGCCAACGGTTGCTCCGTTTCCTTCCCCTTCTCAGGTCCTGCCTTTAGGATTTGGCTGTCTCAGCCTGCCCTGGACGAGCTGCCGTGCACCTGCCAAGGGCAGCACCCGGCCTCCTCTCCTGCGCCAGTCCAGCCCCACGCACCGGGGTGCTGGCTGGGGAGAGCAGCGTGTATCGGGGCAGGAAGAGGCGCAGCCGTCGGGCCGGAGCAGCGATCCCCAGCCTGCCGTGCTCAGAGCCCAGGGTCTGTGCTCACCCAGGGCCAGGCACCGGGGCAGGCACTCACCGGCAGAGGTGCTGGAAGAGAAGCCGCATGGTGTCGTGGTTGGCCTCGGGGAGCGCCCACACCAGGTCACAGATGCACTTGCTGCGCTTCACCTGGTCGTGTATTTCTGCAGCCAGAGGGAAAAACAGGTCACACTCCCCCGGGAGGGCTGGGCCTGGGGCCCTGGGCTGCAGCACAGGGGGCTGGGCTCTTGCCCGGCCCGGTCAGGGGACCTCCAGGAGAATGTGGGCCTGGCTCCAGCCCCCGTCCGCCCAGCAGTGACGTAGGGACGCCTCCCCGGCGGAGCTACCAGAAAAACCCACCATGCCCGGCTGTGCTCGGGGCTGGGACCCTCCAACAAGCTGGACTGAGCCCAGCAGGGAGATGAGCCAGCTGGGACTCCAGCCCGCAGGACAGAAATTTTGGCTCCCCAGGGCAGCTCTAGGTCTCCCTGGGCCCTGGCCTTTGGGGCTCAAAACAGGGGAGTGGGCTGGGGAAACCCAAGGGAGCCCGGCCCTGCAGGGAGGGGATGGCGGGGCCCGGCCCTGGCAAACCTGGGGGTAGTAGTGTTGCCAGGTGTCCAGTTTTGAACCAGACAGTCCAGTATTTGAGCTTTCTGTTCGAGAAACAATTTGAGAAAATATAAACGAGAAAATATAAATGTCCGGTATTTTCTAAATAAGATGTAATGTAGATTGTGATGTAATGTCAAGTGTGTCCAGTATTTGTATTGAAACCATCTGGCAACCCTAGGGGGGGAAGATTCAGGAGGTTGGGCTTAAGACCGGCTCTGTCGACAGCCCCAAGCAACCACCTGGCTCTCCCACCCCTAAGACTCGCTCTGTCTGTATGCCAGTAAAGCAAACCTCCTTGCTTCGTGACCTGCTATTATATATCTAAGTCCATTCCATAGGCCTTGTTATTGGTTTGTCATGGACAAATTAATAGTTGTATTTGCATTATGCAACGGCATTTCTCTTTAAATGTTTAACACCAGTTTAAATGATATTATTGCAATTAAGAATGATAAACATTTCCTCCTATGTCTCAATCAATATTCACTGGGTTGTTTCAATAGCCAGTCTCCAAAGGGAACTGACCAACAGCATGTTTGTAAATTGACAATTTATTTCAAGGAAATTTTAATATCTCTTTAGAAATATTGTGTCCGCTGGCACGAGGCAGGGGCGAGCCTGCCGGACCGGCAATGGGCGTAACCTCGGAATTCGCGCGGGGGCTGAAGGCCGGAACCATTTCCGGCGGGAAGCCAAAGGCGTTCACAGAGCAGGTTCACTGCCCAAGGTGCACTCGGCAGGAGCGTGCCAGGGATGCCACGCTGGGGAGCCAGCGGCAGGCTGGCGCTCCTCGGAGGGCGGGCCTGCGCTGTCGCACGGCTAAACGTGCACACGCCGCCGTTCCCTGCACGAGCACGGCTGGAAA